AAAGTAAAACAATTGAAAGAAATGTATATGCAAACAGCAAGAAACAAAAGCTTGAGTAGTTATACTGGTATCAGATAAAATAGTTTTGGACAAAAAATAGCCATTGGAGCTAAGGAAGCACATTTTGTAACAAATTTAAAGTGTTCATCCATCAGGAAAATATAACAGTGACAGACATATCACCTAACAGGGCACCAAAGTACATAAATCAAAATCTGACTGAAATGAAGGGTACACAGTTCAACAGTAACAGAGATTTTAATACTCAACTTTCAATAATAGACAGATAAACTACACATATGAGCAGCAACTCCACAGAAGGATTGTAAACATTATGTACTGCAAACAAGTACCCAAAAAAGAAGGGGGTTAAACAATGAGTTAAGATGTGCTATGTACATGTACCAACTTCCCACAAGGAATGTAAACATTATGTACTACAAACATGTGCTAATAAATTTAATTTTTTTAAAAAAATTAAAGGACAGAAATTATAAAAAATGTGTTCTCTATTCTCAGTGGGAATTAATAATAGGAAAAACAGGAAGAATGACAGAGAAATTAGAAATAAGTACAAGAGCAATAACAGGGAAATAACAAATTCTTTAACAGCCAATCAGTTAAAGGAGAAATCAAAAGAAAAATCAGAAAATACCTTGAGATAAATAAAAATGAAGACAGAACCTTATAGGACCCAGAAAAAGCAGTGCTGATATGAAAATTTATAACTGTAAATGGATAGTTTAAGAAAGAAGAAAGATACCAAGTCATTTGAACCTCCACCTTATGATGCTGTAAAAAATCAAAATTAAATATAAAACAAATAGAAAACATAGCATAAAAATTAGAGTGGAAACTGAGAGAGAATAGAGAAAAATCAATGAGACCAAAAGCTGATTCTTTAAAAAGCTCAACAAAATGGATAGATCCTTAATTGACTTAACCAAGAAGAGAAGGCAATTCAAATCACTAAAACAGGAAATGAGAGAAGACACTGGAGTAGAGACAGCCTATACAACAGATGAAAATATTTGCAAACTGTACTCCTACAAGAGGCTAATATTCAGAATATATAAGGAGCTGAAAAAACTCAGTAGTAAAAACATAAGTAACATGGTTTTAAAAATGAGTAGTAGACACATTCCTCAAATGAAGATATGTAAATGGCCAATTAGCATATAAAGAAATGCTAAATGTCACTAATCATTGAGGAAATGCAAATAAAACCCATAAGATATCACCTCACTTCAAAATAATGACATGTCTCTTATCAAAGAGACAAGAGATAAGTGCTGATGAGAATATGGAAAAAAAGAATCTGTGCACACTGTTGGTAGGAACATAAATTAATAGAGTTATGGTGTAAAATAGTATGGATATTTATCAAATTAATAACAGAACTGCCATATGATCCAGCCGTACCACTGATATATCCAAAAGATGTGAAATCAGTATATCAGAGACATCTGTGCTCTAGTGATTATATCAGCATTACAGTAACCAAGAAATGAAAACAACCTAATTTCCACAAGCTGATAAAGAATGGATAAAGAAGATGTAAATGGATAAAGAAATATATATATATATACACACACACATACACACACACACACACACACATACATGCATACATACCATGGAATACTTAGCTATAGAGTTGATCTATAAAGAGAATGAAACCTTGCCATTTGCAACAAAATACATGGAATTGGCAATCACTGTATTAAGTAAGACAGGCACAGAAAGAAAAGGAAGTACTACATGATGTCTCTCATATGTGGACTATAAAAAAGTTGCTCTTATGGAATTTCAGAGCAAAATGGTGGTTACTGAGGATGGGAAGTAAGTTCCAGTGTGCTGCTGCACAGTAAGGTAGCTGTAAATAATGGCTGTGTGCTACATATTTCAAAAAGCTAGAAGAAAAGACTTTGAGTGTTTTTACCATAAAAATTGATGACTGTCTGATGAGATGTATTTAACCTTATTTAACTGATAGAATTATACATATACATGCATCAAAATATCATATGTTACCCAATAAATATGTATAACTTTTATGTTTCAATGTATTTGTTTAAAAATTAAAAATGATAGGCAATTACTTGGGACCCCTTGTGTCTCTCAGAAGCTATTCCTATTCCCCAATAAACCTTTCCTACTCTTTCCTAAAGAAGAAAGAATTACTACTGACTTTGCAGAAATAAAGATTATAAAAAAATCTATAATTGGATGCCAGCTGTGGTGGGTTGACAACTAGTGGTCAACTTGTAACACCCAGCTGAACTTAATAAGCATGGTACTGGGTGTGGGAGGCCCACCTAAGGATTGTTGCCAGCAGCATAAGAGACAGAACTGGAGAAGAAGTTAGGCTGTTGAGAGCTGGCAGAAGCTGTTGGGAGTCTGTTGGAAGCTGAGAGAAGCTGTAAGGAGCTATTGGTTCTGTTGGGGGAGATTGTAATACCCATCTTTCCTGATAAACTTAGCTGTTTTCATCCTCCAAGGAGCTTGGGACCTTATTGTCACTGAGAATGGCTTTGATTCACTTTGGGGGAGCTCTGGTCCCCACTCTGAATATCGCTTCCTGGCTCTGGAGGGGAAGATGGTGCACTGCTCAGTCTCCTGGAGAAGCTTGTTGCATTGGCTTTCGTGCTGGGAACTCAGCTGTTCTGATCATTGGAGGAGCTTGGGACCTCACTGTTGCTGAGGATGGCTATGGTATTTTGGGGGGAGTTCTCGTTCTTATTTTGAGCATTGCTTCCTGGCTCCAGTGTAGATCCCTCAGCTTGCTAGCACAGATCCTTCATCCCGCTGGCACAGACTTCCTAGATTCCACCACTGACCTTTGGGCCTTCCCAGCGCAGATCAGTGAAACAGACCTGCATGAAAGATTGTCATGGGCTCTAGGCCTCCAGCTGGACTCATGCAAGGCATTGTTATGGGCTCTAGGTTTTCAGCTGAATTCATGTAGGACATTATCATGGGATTCAGGTCCTCAGCTGGATTCTTTGGTCTTTAGTGTGTGGACAGATTTCATGCACTCTCTTGTATATGATTCTTTGGGTGACTGTTAATAAATAATCTTAAAAAATGTGTCCTGTATATTGTTCCTCTGGCAAAGACCCCAAACCGCAACACCAACAAATTAGATGACTTAGATGAAATGGACAAATGTTTTAGAAAGACATATGCAACTAAAACTCACCCAAGAAGAAATTCAGACTATTAGAACAGATCTATAACAAATGAAGAAGCTGAATCACAGACCCACATACAGAGAAAAAAATGGCTTCATTAAATAGTTCTACCAAACACTGGCAAAGATGTGGATGCACACACAGAAATGGACATGTAAAAAAAGGAAGGCAGCTGTGAGCCATGAAGACACCAACACCAGAAGGCAAAGATTTCAGCATGTTACTCTTGAACTTCTAGTCTCTAGAAATGTGAAAAAATAAATTTCTGTAGGTAAATGGAATACAACTAACAGTTCAGAACCAAACCCAAACTCATACATGTGTGTTCACTTTATATTCAGTGAGAGTGCCAAGACCATTTGCTTTGGTCCTCCAAGGATTTATGTGTTGAAATTTAATCCCCACTTAGTTATTAAGATAAAGAAAACTTACCCGAGGAGCCTTAAAATTTTTACTAGCTGAAAGACTGCAGCTACAAAAGACAAGATCTTATACAGTTCTATTCATGTGCAAATTTAGAATAAGGAAGCTATACAGAAAGTAGACTTGTGGTTCCTCAGAATGGAGGTGGAGGAGTGTAGAGACTTGGGGAGTTGTAGGAGGAGGTAACCACTAAAACATACAGGGTTTATGAAATGTTGAAAATGTTCTAAAATGACTTCGGTGATGATTGCATATCTGTGAATATCTCAAAGCCTACTAAGTTGTACATGTTAAATGGATAAACTGTATCTCAATAAAGCTGTAAAAATACTAGGAAAACCCTTTACTAGTATGAGAAAATGGAACCAGCACAAGACATAACAAATATGTATTTGGTTTGAAAAAAGAGATGACCTACAGTTTGTGTAATAACCGTATGACTAAAGGGTGGTGGGAAAATTCCTGGGGAAAATTTTGCAGACACTTCCAAAGCTCCAGTGGTGTAGAAGTGGCATGTGATGTGCCATACTGGAGCTCACAGGTCACTGTTGGCCCTGCTGGCTCCACAGAGCAAATGTGGTGGACTTTATGCTGGGCACCAACTTGCAGACAGAGGGCAGCAGGTCCTTTCAGCCTTATGTTACCTCTTGGACATCCAGCTGGATGTGGAGAAAATATTCTAACAAAGAGGCAGAGCTTTCTGCTGGGACTACCTTCAGCACCCTCCAAGGTTTGTTTTCTTTCTTTCTTTTTCTTTCTTTCTTTCTTTCTTTCTTTCTTTCTTTCTTTCTTTCTTTCTTTCTTTCTTTCTTTCTTTCTTCCTTCCTTCCTTCCTTCCTTCCTTCCTTCCTTCCTTTCTTTCCTTCTTTCTTTCAACCTCTTTGGTGTTGGAGATGGAACCCAGGGCCTCATACATTCTAGGAAAACACTCTACTACTGAGCTATCCCTCAACCCGTTTGTAGTAGACTGAACTCATGGCATACATTGGAGGAAAACTCATCTTTTCTGTTTTGGCTTCAGCTATGTTGAAAGGATTTAAACAGGAACCTGGAACAACCTCCAAAATAATCTTATGGACCAGGGATGTAGCTCAGTGGCTCAGCGCCTGCCTGGCAAATGCAAGATCCTGAGTTTGATTCCTGGTATTCATAAACAAAACAAAACAAAACAACCTTATTTGCAGCGCTACTGAGCAATAAGCCAGTTCTAAAAAGTCCCCTACTCTGGATACCAAGCATTCTTTCTAATTCAAAGACTGAGACACTTGTTTGTCTCTTTCATCTACACACTACTTTTGCCAGACAATGAGACATAACCACCACAAATACTCCTGTCCTCCTTGCCAGGCACCAAGTATATAAGATAAGAGGCAAGCAACTCACCAGCATCAGCTGTATGCTCTGGCCAGTCTGTGTGGTTCAGTCCTGTGGGGGCACTCTGGGACAGCACACAGCTTCTTCTCAAGAGATGCAGAGACTCTGGAGAGGCCACAGTCTTCCTCCAGCACTGGGAGAAGAGAGGAGCAGAGGCAGAGAAGGTGGATGAAGAGAACACATGACAGGCTGTCCTGGCCACCTCTTAATTTTTCTAATTCCTCAGGACCTTTCCTGTGGACAGAGCACACAGCCAAGATGCACACAGCTCCAAGAGGTGCTATGCACTCCGAATCCTTGAGAGAAGCTTCTTCTGGAGTCAGATGTGCAACCCTGGCAGGATGGGCTGCAATTCTGTAATGTGAAATGAAGACCACTGAGGTTTCAGACACCCAGGTATTCCCTAGCTAGTCAGCCATACAGCCTGATACTTTCCCAAAAGCAAGTCAGTTGGTTTTAGCTCAGGTAGATTATATATGGGGTACTTAATTAAAATGCAACTTAATTAAAATGCAACTATGAGGGCTATAGCACCTCATAGTTATGGAATGACACTAAAGCCGGGTGTAGTGGTGCACACCTGCAATCACAGAATTTAGGAGGCTGAGGCAGGAGGATCATTGTGAGTTCAGGGCCAGCCTGTGCTACGTAAGTGAGTACAAGGTTAGCCTACACTACATAGCAAGATCTTGTCTCAAGAAATAAGAAAGAAAAAAAAATGAAATGGACACTACTCTTCCAACAGTTAGGATGATAGAGTTGCACAGCGTGGTGGGAAAAGAAGGGCTATTGTTCTTTTCTTTATCTTCTCATTGTCCAGAGATAAACTTGGCCTCTTCCATTTCTTTTTCTACTTTATAAGATTATTGTATTGACTTAAAAATCATGGTATATATTCATAGAAAAACTTGTTCTCTTTCCTTTAACTTTTGTATTCTTCACACTACTAAGCAAACAGTGCTTAGATAATTATTTTAGTAATTGCTAGAGAAACAAATATATAAAGAAGGCTTATAATGGACTAGTGTACTCTACTCCATCTCCTTCACTTGAATGCAACCAAAATCTTTGGACAAATTGAATAGATCTGCTATCTGAGGACTCTGAAAATGAATGGCAGCAGGTGGGTTGAGAGCTTACCCTGATCCTGTAGTGTCTCCTGTTTTGTACTTCCTATGGTAACCCCTACCTGAAAACAGCAGTTTGAAACTGGTCATGGACCAAACAGCCTCCTAAAGAAGCCCTCTCTGCTCTGAAGAGGGGAAGGGATCCCAGGAGCAGAGGGGGATGGAGAAAATACTGGGTATTTCAATGCTGCTTTCCCCATCCCAGCCCTTGGGCAGTGGTGGCAAGCAGGCACTTAAAACCCTGAGGGAGAAGAATTCTCTCTGACCAGAGTAACTGAGGTACAAGGGTAGTGGGGAGAAACCTCTTTACTTTTTCTCTGTTCTCCTATTACTTGGCTCCAGAGGCAAAGTGCAAGAAGTGTGTGGCAAAGTGAGAAAAACAACGCTTCAGCTATCTAGACAAGAGACCAGGGCTAAAAGGGCTCCTGATCACTAGGACGTGTTTAGAAGTATAAAGAGAGTATGCTGAAGAAAATGATCCTGCAGTGTTGTGTATGGACTCCTGGACTTACATTTAAACTGTGCACAAGTGGATCTACCTGCAGTAGACTGATGTCTTTGAGAACTGAATGATGGGGTAAAATGCTTGACAGGTCCTAGACTGGCCACTGCGATCTGTGTTATCTAGAATCATTGCAGGCATCTGGAAATCTGAACTGACCTAAGAAACAGTCCCACAAAGCCAGCAAGAACTTGTACCTGAACTGAACTGGTTTAATTGCTGAAAAACTTGATAATTATTTTCAGAGGAACTAAACAAGACTTAAAATCTCCTAACATGATATTCAGAATGTCCAGGATATAATCTAAAATCACTCATTATGCAAAGAGCTGTAACATCTCCATTTTCAAGGGAAAAGACAAAGTGTGCCAATACCAAGATGACACAGTTGTTAGAATTGTCATACAGAAATATAAAGCACCTTACTTTTAACCATGCTCTAAGAAGTAAAGGTGACACTGTTGAAGTGAACGGGAAATAAGAACAGCCAAATGGATACAAAAAAGAGTGAATAGAAATACTAAACTAAAAAATGTAATAAAGGAAATAAAAAATTCACTGGCAGAGTTCAGTTATGAAATGAGATGAAGAATTAGTAAACCTGAAATAGTGCAATAGAAATGATCCAATCTAAAGGAATGAGAGAAAAAGTAGGGAGAAAAAGTGCCTTAGGGAGCTGCAGGACAGAAAAAGTGTAACATTTGGTCATTTCCTCCATCCTTATAGGAGGAAAAGAGAAAGTTTGGTGCCAAATAATTCTCAGAAATAATTACCAAAACATCACAGATATGATTAAAAAAAATCTTTAAAAATACAAGAGCTCAGCAGATTTCATACAGGAAAACCCAGGGAAATCAGTATCCAGAAATATCATAAACAAACCACTGGAAACTAGAGAAAATGAAAGAATCTTGAAAACAGCTGGAGTAGCCATAGTGTTCATCTCTCCTTGCCCCCTCGCATAGTTAGGGGGACCATTTCAGAGAGAAAATAATATAGGCTGGATATCTAGATAAAATCATAAAATTAACTACTCCCACTATACTACTGATTTAACTGTTCTTTTCTTGCTGTGGCTCAACCACTGAAGTTTGGGAGACCAAAACTAAAAAGAAAACTGGGCTGAGAACAGCCAATATTTCCCTAGCCCTCCAAGGTCAGCAAGGACCCAGGGTATGAAGGGACCTTTCCTCAGGATCCTATAACCTTGGTGAGTCACACAACCTCCTGAACAAGGAGATCGTTTAGGACCCACCCCCCTGCCCCCAACCAGGACAGGAGTCAACCATTATGCATCAGGCTAGACAGAGGGTTACTGAAGGGAAAATTGTTCCCTTGCTTTTAAGAACCATGTGGTCTAGGATGGACCATAACTCATCCTGGCAGATGATACATCTGACAGAGGAAGGACTGAAAGAGCTAAGAGGGTCTGACTATGGTCCCAAAAACAGTACCTGAGGAAATGTAACTGACCTTGATATATCAGGACATAAATTATGATTGATAAAGGACTCACTTTAATTTGGTCTTGAACACCCCACAACAGAAGGACATAGCCAGAGATATGCATGAGTAATAACAATATAGGCTAGACATACAGAGGGGCCTTCAATCACTGACCCCCTGCTGACAGTACTAAGGGCCGGATGGTTACAACTGCTATTCCAATCCTTTAAAATCAGTGTTTTATGTGGCTCCCAACCTGCCTTTCTATTCTATCACTCATGTTTTGGTCATAGGTGCACTCATCTCTTGGTAAAAGCTTGTTTATTCTCACCTAGAAACTATAGAACTCAAGTGATCCTATGCACAAAACCTGTTGTAAAGCTGCTAGACTCTTTCCACCAAGGCCCATCTGATGAGCTTCCCAGCTGAAGACCTCCATCTGCTATTCTGCAAGTACCACCCCACTCAGCTCGAAGAAGCCAGTTCAGCCATCACCCATGTCCCCAGCAGCAGTTGGATGGTTGTCTCAGAGGGGGAAATATAGGGATGGGGCCCAAGAGATAGGGAAAAAATAGGATGAAGGCCTCATTGAGCTTTATTAAAAATTAATAAGGCAGCTCTGACCTCTGAAGCCAGACCTGAGTAATTAGATTTAAGCAATTAGAAAGACAAAGGCAAAGAATAAGGAAGAAATTCAGGACAGGAAGTTCCTAGGCAGCATGATTGACATAAGAATTGCAAACTTCCTCTTTCCTTAATCCTTAAACTTAAACTACCTGTCCATAAGTCCCCACCCATAATCTTACCCTCAACTGAAGGACAGGGAAAAGTCAAGACCAGAAGAAATCCAAGGTTAGGATGAAAGAGAAGCTAGGGAGCCAATCAGATTCCAGGGGCTACCCAGGATAGGGATCTCAATAAAAGGAGCTGCAGATAAGAAATCCACGACCATTTCCCTTTTGAATACTCCATGCTCTCTTTCTGTGTACCATGTCTCTCTCCCCACCTTTCTCCCACCTTCAAATGACTTGTCTTCTTTTGTTTAGAAAAGGGAAAGAAAGCAGCTGGAATCAAGACAGATACAGGGGGATGATTATTCAATTGTGGCCGATATTTCATGGACAGAAGAAAAAGTGGAACACTACTTCCAAAGTGCTGAAACACTGTCAGCTCAGAATTCTATATCTAGCAAAACTACACTTTGGAAATGAAGAAGAAATACACACACCCTTATATGTGGAAAAAGTGAGAGAAATCAACACCATCAGGCTTTTTCTAAGGTAACATAAAAAGATTTTTGTACAAAGAGGAAATGATACATGAGGAAATGTCAAACTTCAGGAATAAAGGAAGAGTAATGGAAATGGTAAATACCTGGATAAACAGAACAACAGTATTCTCTTAAGTGTTAAACAAATATGACATTTAAAAGCAAGACTCCTATTATCTGACAAGGTGTTCAATGTATATAATGTACATGAAACTACAACATAAATGGGAAGTATATTAGCCCATTTCCTATTGCTATAACAAAATACTGGAGGCTTGGGTGATTTATAAAGAAAAGAGGTATACTTCGGCTCACAATTATGAAGTCCAGGAGCACAATGCCAGTATCTGCTGTGGCATATTATGGGGGAGAAGCAGAAAGGGTAGTGGGTGCATGTGGAAAGGGAGCACATATCAGAGAGACAGAGACCATGATGCAATCTGTTCCATTGATTACCTCACAGCAACTAACACATTCTTGGAGAGCTACATGACTCCCTTCATGAGAGTCAAGTACCCCATGACCTAGCTGCCTCTTCTAGTCCCTCCACCTGTCTACATCATTACATTGGGAACAAAGCCTCAACATGAGTTTTAGCAAAGACAAACCACATCCAGACCATAGCAGAAGCTAAAGGAACATATATGGCAGAAGCTTTGTACATTCCACTCAAAATGCTAAATTATTAATTCTAAGTAGACTGAGAGCTCAGGGTGTGTATTAATCCCTAAAGTGACTACTAAAATTATCACACAGAAAAATATTGTTAAAAACTCAGTATGAATGAA